AGTCAGGCTGGTCATTAGTGCCCGTTAACTCTCCAGGTGAGTCACTCATACACACATGCCAGGGAGAGGAATTTTGCAGGTGTTTTCTTTTTTTCCTCTGTTAGCCAAGAAAACATTTCCTCAGCTTCATTCTTCAGATCCACTGCCCCCAGGGCAGGAGCAAAGAAAGCCACAGCTGAAACTGGCTTCGGAGTGATTGGATGCAGGGCAAATGACTTGCTGTTCATTCATCACAACCCATGTGAGTGAATTCTGGTAACAAGTAATGATTCCCCCCCCCCTTTTTTTTTTTTTTAAATCCTCACCTGAGGATATTTTTCCATTGATTTTGAGAGAGGAGGAGAGGGAAAGACAGAAATATCGATATGACAGAAACACATTGGTAGTCTCCTGCACATGCTCCAACCAGGGCCCTGGCCCGGGAAGAGCCTGCAATTAAATATGTACCCTTGACCTGAATCAAACCCGGGACCCCTTCAGTCCTCAGGCAGAGGCTCTATCTACTAAGCCAAACCGCTAGAGCATCAACCCTACCTTTTGCTAAAACTGAAACTGCAGTATTTTATTTTTAAAAATGTATCATTATGGATTTCAGAGGAGTTAGAAATATCAATAATCAGAATCACTGATTGGCTGCCTCCTGCACACCCCCTACTGGGGATTAAGCCTAACAGGGGCATGTGCCCTTGAACGGAATAGAACCTGGGACCCTTGAGTCCACAGGTGGACGCTCTATCCACTAGGCCAAACCTGCTAGGGCAAAAAATGCAGTATTTTAATAAAGTAACTGCATTTAAGTGTTGGTGGTGGCAAATGGGCATTTGTGATAGAGTTGATAAAAAGCTGAAAAACTGGGAAAAAGATAGGAATTGGAATCTTTTTTTAGGCAGGAAAATTCCAACCAAGGCAAAGAATCTTTCACCTTTACATTGTAGATTCAAACTATTAAACAGCTGCAGGTCTGAACAGAGCGAGTCTCTCCGAAATGTAGTCAGTTCAGTTTGATTCCCTGAGAAGTTAATCATCTTAACGTAAAAGCTGCTAATTGGCAGGCCAAGCGTCCACATCTGGTGCACATATTGGCCTGGCACAGACGAACACACTCAAAATATTTGAATGAGTTGACATTTAAAAATTGGAAGACTGCACACAGATTTTAATTAGCCACTTGTCCTTGATTCAAAAGATCTGGCAACACTGGGCATTCCTCCTGGCAATTGGAATGGAATGGCAGCCCTCTCTCTCCTTTACAGCAAGGCCTGTGCTCTGGATTCTCCCAAGGCCCCCGTCGCTATTGTCTCCCAAATGGGAGGCCAAAGGTCATATAACAATTATCATGATGTTTGGTTATTTTTCTTATCCCCCCCCTTTCAATCAATTATATTCTTCACCCAGACTCTTTGAGTTTGTGACCCGCTTCCCAGCTCAGTGTAATAGTCTGTGTGGCTGCCTGGTGTGTGCTCTGTAGTGGAGGGAGAGGCAAAGGGAGCTCAAGGGTCGAATTCATTGTTTTTAAACTCTGGGTCATGACACATATTGGGGTAATGAAATTACTTGGGTTTAATGGATTTCAGCTTGAATCTTTAGAAAAAATGGAAGTTCTGGAGTGCAATACACACAGTAGATATTATTTCATGAAGTTTTTGTTAAATGTACGTACTAGGCATGAAGAGTCCAAGTGAGAGATTGTTGTGGGGTAGAGTCTCTGGAAGTATCCATGACATGTTGGGAGCTTAGAAGGAAGAGGTACCAAGTTTGCTGGCTGATGTGAAGGTGGCTGGCTTAGGTCAAAGGAAAACAGGGCCAAGACAATAGGGAGTGTGCAAGGAACGTCCCCTCAGCTGCCTAATGAAGAGCACAGACAGAAGCAGAGGAAACCCTAGGGAAGAGAGGGAACCATTTGGAGGACCTTCAGTGCCAGGACTTATATGTTTCTCTGGGGAGAAGCGGAGACCCACTCACTATAAAAGAACCACCACTCACTGGTATGTAAAGCCTTCCCAGTAAAGGTCAGGCTCCTACAAGGTCGAGTTTAATCCTATGACCCAAAAAGATAGGCACTATTAGCCTTCCCCGATAAGAAAAAAGCACAGAAAGGCTAAATGACTCACTAAAGGCCAATAGCATAGCAGAAATCAAGGTCTGATTATAAAGCCCACAGGCTTCTCACACTCTTTTTTCCCCTGGGGGGGAGGGGTTAGGTTCACTTTTTTTTTTTTTGAGCAAGAACAATTAATAAATGCAATGTTTAAATACATGTACTGTGTATTTGAGAAACTGGAAGACACCCATCCTTTCTAGAACCTAGAACTGAATATTTAATAAAATTGAAGACCATTCTTATTTTTTGTGGCCATACACAGGTCATTATTCTAATTCTCTTCACAGAACTGTATACTGTTAGAGGTTAAAATTCAACTTGTAAGCCATGTTTTCCCACAGAGAATTTGGTACTATCATTATGCTAATTTTTATAATTGGAAAAAAATTCCTCAAGTCCAAGGTTGACAAAAATTAATTAAAATCAAACCAGGCTGGTGTGGCTCAGTGGTTGAGCATCGAACCATGAACCAGGAGGTCACGGTTCAATTCCCGGTCAGGGCATATGTCTGAGTTGTGGGCTCAGTCCTTATTAGGGGATGGTGCCTGAGGCAGCCAATTGACGATTTTCATCATTGATGTTTCTTTCTCTTCCCCTTCCACTCTCTGAAATCAATAAAAACATTTAAAATAAAATCAAAACCATTTACCTTATCTCAGGTATTTTTAACCCATCCATTGTATTGTACTGTTCTCTTGGTATCTGAGAAACAAAACGAGGATAGGATTATGAAATCAGGTGAAAGAGGAGTGGAGTACAGAGGCATTAGCTGGGCTAAAGTTGAACTTGCCCCATTGGTGATCAGGGTGGAGTGGGTATGCCCTCTGATATTCTCCTGGGCATTAATCTTAAGTTTCCTTGTAAGACCTTTTACAGGCACTCACACACAGACTGACAGTGCACTTAAGGTGGTGGTTTGTTAAAATTAAGGAGTAGCTTTGGAAGTATTTGAAGATGTAAGATATTGGGTGGTTAATAAGTCAAACATTTGACTCATATATTAAAACAAAAATTACTATAGAACCAATGACACATTATAATTATAACCTGAAAATTATCTGTTCTTTGCCACTTTACATACTATAACAACCCACACCTGATGCTTAAAACTGCTTAGAGAGCTCCCCAAACACATCATCCCAGATTGTCTGCCCCACCCACAAAGGCCTAATCTGCCCTCTCCCCCCTTGTTTTCCCTTTAGGTTCCAACATGTTTCAAAGCTCATTTACTATCTGGGTTCTTCTATTATTTATTCAATATGGAGCACTTGCTATCTGCCACGCAGACCAAGAATTGGTTCCTGCCACCACAGAACACAGCCTAGTACAGTCAACTGTTACCAATTGCTATGAACAAAATGCGTACGGTGCTATGGAGAAGTGTAAGGTGAACGGACTTAGATTGGGGGTCCAGAGGCATCTTTGAGGAAGTATTTAGCTGAGGTCTGAAGGATGAAGAGGAGTTAGCTGAGTGAGCACTAGAGAGGGATGAATAGCACTGAGGAAGGAGAGCAGCAGCTTCAGGAGCCGAAAGGAGCCTGTGGCTGGAGTGCAGGGAACAGGTGAGATGGTAAGGGACCAGACGGGAAGCCTTAAAGATTACCTTTAGCCCAGTGATCATGACCTTCCCCTAGCTTTCCTGACATGCCCCCAAGCCGTGCTAAGAACCCTTCCTTTGTGCATCCGGGGGATTATACTAGAACTGTTTCTGGCAGGCTCCTTTATTAAATTCTTGAAGGCAGAGATTATCTTAATTTTGGACGCTCAATATATCACAAGTAAGTTTTTTGTTAATCCAAACCAAAGAAGTTAGAAGACTCATTTCCTTCCTTGACTTTGCCACCATCTTGTAACACAACCTCTGGTCATGCAACCTTTTCCAGATCAGGGGTGTCCAAAGGCCTGCTTGACTAGAGGTTACAAATTATGAATGTGCCCTCTCAGGGCAACCTGCTTATCATCTCTAGTGGGGACAGAGTCCAGACAGCTGAGTTAGGGTCAAGTATGTCTGAATTTGCCCTTAGTCTGTTATTTTTATATGTTATTTTAAAAAATCCTTAATGTGAGTGTATATGCATTTCATGAAACAAATCCACTAAATTCAGTTCTCCTAATGCATCAATTTGAACACATTTTGTCACACTCCCTTCCCCATCTTTGGAAGCTATTCAGTTCAAAATGAAAGTTGGACAGGAAGAAAAAATAGTTTCTAAAAATGACTTTGGTTCACCTATAATGAAAGGCATGAATAATTTTGAATTTCTTCAAGTAGTAGTAAGATCATGAGGTGCTCAATGAATCCCAACACTTCTACTCTGAATCACAGATTCCTGGGTGACTAAAATGAATTCCAAGAGTTAAACTTAAATTGGATGGTGATCAGCTACCAGAAAATAAACACCTACTTTATTAATACAATAGCAACAGAAAGGGTTTCCAATTTCTTAAAACATGAACCAGCCCCACCTGGCTGCTTTACAAGATTAAATGCCCAAATTTATCGTTCCGAGAGCTCCCTGCCCCACTGCTGATGTTTCCTCAAAGACAACTGCCATCAGAGCTGCTGTAAGATCACGGGTCGTTTCATAGTCAAAAGATCGCCGAAATGATATTTCTGTTTTAGAAGCGCTCGGTGTAGAGAGAACTTGTCAATGTGAAAAGTCTTGCTTCTTGAATTCAAGAAAAACCATGACCTAATCTACCATTTTTTCTGATTTAGTCTGCCAAGCTCCCGTGAAGAACCCTTTTCCCTTTCTACCACCTGATCCGGGTGAGAGGAGAGGGCAGGGTGTAGGTGCCAGCGTGCTAACAGGCGATTCGGGCGATGTGTTGGCAGTCGTAGGCGTCTTTTCTGGCAGCGGCAGCAGCTTGTCGAGGGGAGAAAAAGGTCACCCACCAATCACCTCTTCTTGAAGCCGTATTTTTTTCGTTCATAGAAGAGATCTGTCTTAGAGCTCCCCAAATTGACAATCTTTGGGCAACCATCTCTCTGGAAAACAGAAGAATAGAGAAATTATTAAAAGTCCTATATTGAGAGGGATTTAACATAAAAATAACTTTTGGATTAGTGGTTCAGCCATTCATTTTGCTATTTTAGTTATCCTATTTGATCAATTGTCAAGAACTTACTAAGCACCTAGAATGTGACAGGGCCTGTCTACCCTCAATCTAGTGGTCTGCGCTTACAATGGTGGGTTCTTAGACCACTTCTGTAGTTAAATCTATGATATAGTTGAGGTAGAATCTGAAACTCTTAAAATGTCCAAAGGGTTTTCTTCCAGTGAAACATAAGATAAGGAATAATCACGTACAGAACAAGCTCTCTGGTTCTCTTCCACTATCCCCCCCCAAAAGAGCGAATATGACCGCTGATGTGGTTCAGTGATTGAACATCGACCCATGAACCCAAGAGGTCACTAGTTTGACTCCCCGTCAGGGCACATGCCCAGGTTGCGGGCTTCAGGAATCAGCCGATTGATCAATGATTCTGTCATCATCGATATTTCTATCTATCACTCTTCCTCTCTCTATAAAAATTAATAAAAACATTAAAAAAGAAGAAGAAGAAGAAGAAAAAAGAATACCACCAAGGAAAAATGTCTAAAACCTATTAGGAATTAATACCTCCTTTTAAACATCACAGAATACTGGTGCCGACAGCCCCTGCTCTGATTGGTAATGATATGCCCCTGGCCATTCTGTGAGCCTGAGTGGTTTCAGCAAAGCCCTGGAAGCTGTGCTCTGCAGCAGTGATGACTCCATTAGTTATCTGGAATGATGGGAGGAAAACTGGGGGAGTTGCTCCTGGAAAAAAACCTTCACAGATCTGATTTTATTTTATCCATGTCAAAGGTTGTTGCTTCCTGTGACACTGGGCTACAAAATGAATCAATGAGGTCCTTCGACATCTCATTTCTAATCCAGCTGATTTCTTTTTCCAGGGACTAATATCAACACTACAAAAATATCTGAAAACACACAAAGCCAACACTAACATTTCGTTATTTTCTAGAAAATATATACCATGCATTACATTGAGAACTGCCATCTGTGGAGTTTGGTGTGCTGAGGGAGCCAGGCTGTGGGCCCAGCCCCATCAACGGTTTGCTAGCTGAGCTCTAGTAAGCTATGTACTCTGTACTGCAAGTTCTCATACAAATGAGGGGACTGCAGCCTTTTCCTGGCTAAAAGTAGCCTCACATTAAAACACAACAGTGCTCTGAGACCTTGAGAGATGCTGTGACATTTTGTGGAATGACGATAACCTGTTTAGGCTTATTGTGCCACACTGATATGTGTAACTGTGGGCAAGCCACTTCTTTTGGACTCATATTCCTCAACTGTAAAATAAGTAGACTGGTTAACGTTAACAAACTTGTACTTGGCTAGTGCTAGTCCTGAGAGGCGCCACACCTATGTGTGCAGTTCCATTCTCACTCAGAGCCTAGGTTAAGGCGCGAGGCTACCTGAATTTTGGTAAGTTATTGACCTCCCTGTTTAGTCAAATATAAAACTCTGTTTAGTACATAAAATTATTGCAATGGTAAAACCTACTCCCTAGAATCAAGAATCAGTAAATACACTTAGAACAATGCCCGGCATATAGTCAACTCTTAGTAAGTTATAAGAAGTTGCCAAACACACACACACACCTTAGATATTTTATGAAGATAGGACTAACCTTCACAGATTTGATGATTTTATTTTATTATTATTATTTATTATTATTTATTAATATTATATATTATTTTAATATATTTTATTGATTTTTTAAATATATTTTATTGATTTTGTACAGAGAGGAAGGGAGAGAGATAGAGAGTCAGAAACATCGATGAGAGAGAGTCATCGATCAGCTGCCTCTTGCACACCCCCTACTGGGGATATGCCCGCAACCAAGGTACATGCCCTTGACTAGAATCGAACCTGGGACCTTTCAGTCTCCAAGCCGACGCTCTATCCATTGAGCTAAACCGGTCCCGGCTATTTTATTGATTTTTTTTACAGAGAGGAAGGGAGAAGAATAGAGAGTTATAAACATCAATGAGAGCTGAAATCGGTTTGGCTCAGTGGATAGAGCGTTGGCTTGTGGACTGAAAGGTCCCAGGTTCGATTCCAGTCAAAGGTATGTGCCTTGATTGCAGGTACATCCCCAGTAGGGGGTGTGTAGGAGGCAGCTGATCGATGTTTCTAACTCTCTCTCTCCCTTCCTCTCTGTAAAAAATCAATAAAATATATCTAAAAAAAAAAAAAAAGAAAGAAACATTGATGAGAGAGAAACATCAGTCCGCAGGCTGATGCTTTATCCACTAAGCCAAACCCTTCAGTCCGCAGGTCGACTCTATCCACTGAGTTAAACCGGCGAGAGCTCAAATCTATTTCTACGGCAGGAAAGCAAGCTACAAAAATTACCCTGTACCAGTGATGAAAACTCAGCCAGGACTTTCAAGTAAAACTTTAAAACTAACACTGATCATATACCAAAATATAACATACCAAAGGGAAAGATGTACAGAACTGAAATAAAGGAAAAGGCAACTTTTAACTGCTCTGATGTTCATGGAAATGGGAAGAAAATGGTAGAAACAGCAGGAGTGAAAAGCACATCCTTAACCGCCCTAAGAACAATACAGTGAGATGGTCCAGGTGAGTGCTTTGAGTTAGACCGTGCATCCTCAAAGGGGACAAAAACATCTTTGCCATTACAGTGGTTTCCACTTTATGCAACAAAAATCTTATTCTTTAGTACTTAATTCCTCTTGTTAAAGGGAACATTTAACTTAAATTTGAACTTTTCTCCTGGGGGAGGGCAATAAAAATAAAAAAAATAGTTGAGAAATACTGAGTTAGACAGACCTTGAGCCAAGTTGCCTAACACTTCTAACCCTTAATTTCTTCATCTATATCACACAGAATTTTGGGGGAGAAAATGTTCAGCATAAAACAAACAAACAAACAAACAAACAAACAAAAAAACCAACAAAGGGGGCATCTATAATACTTTCAATAATAAAGATAAATTTTTAAAAAGCATTTAAAAATGTTATGCACTGTACCTGGCACATAGCAAGCACACCGTAAATATGAGCGATTTTGTTTTCTGGTTGGGACAGCTGAGAAAATGGTAAGTAAAAGGAGGAGAATCAAGATGATACTGCATTAGAAGAAACTACAAATTACTCTGACAGCAACACCCACAGCTACTATCCCTGACTGCTGAGCATTCTTAAAGCTTTGAAAAATTAGATAGAACACCCAGCTCAGTTTATTGGTGTAACTCCCTTAAAAATGATGCAAGGTGCATAAAGAGAACTATAATGAGGATTAAATTTAACTTTCTCCTTGGGTTGTGGGAAAATTTCTGCATAGGAAAGTCTTGGGCACTTAATCTACATGGCGATCTGTAAGGCTGAGAGGCTGGATCGTGTCACTCGGCTGCTTTGGGCTCCTTGGAAACAATGTGAGTTGGGCGTCATCTCAGGTATCCCCAGAACATTCCTGTATAATGTGGAGCAGGGAAGTGACGTCTAGGATAATGCTCAGGGACAGAATGAGGCCTGAGGACTCCAAGGTATCAGGTCACACACCACGTGCAGGTGAGTCAGAGCGATTTACATTGACTCGGCACTCTCTGGTTGTAAGTTTATGCCAACCACTCTAGCAACACCATGAAAAATTTCGAGAAAATAATGGAATCTTTAGCTAGTTTAAGATGATTTGTACTTTCCTCTTCACTGCTGTTGTCATAACATGGTTTCACTACTTGTAAACTATAATTACCCAAGGCCTACTATGTACCAATCTGTAGGGGGAACACCTATGGATGACTTACAGGGATAGCACCAAAAATGTGCCCCACCCTTAACTGTCAGGCACTGTACCAAGAAGTGGGCAAAATGAGATACAAATACACAAGCCAAGGTCCTTTTGCTAAAGGAGTGGAGCCGAGGTGGTGGGACAGAGCACCAGGACATGATGTGACAGCCAAAGGCACTTATGGAATTACTTTTGTCATCTTTTATCAATGACCCTTCCTATCTCCCTAAATAATAGAAGACTTAATTAAGTAATAAACAGTCTTATCTGGCCTGACATGTCACACTTACTGGGGGTAGACAGGATCTACATACCAAGACTGATGAGGTGGCAAGGTTGTTTTTCCTCAACACAGGCACATCCTACTGAAAAGACTTACAAAAGGACAGCCTGGGTAATGGGGACGCTACAAAGTTTAGTCAGATGGTCTGGGTTTGCCCTTATTAGATGGTTGAGGGACTGTAAAGTGGGGATAATAATAATTCCTATTTAACAAAGCTATTGTGAATAAGGGAGAAAACATCTATAAACTACTCTTTGCTCATGGGAATATTAAGAATTATACATAATTTTTGCTTTATCCTAGATTAGGTAACCAAATACCTTCTATTAGCCTATTGTATCACACTTCCTTTTATTCTGTCATAAGAAAATAAGCAGATTCCTGAAATTTCCTTCCCAAGAAGTCTGCTAAAGAAAATTAGTAAAACTAACCCTGGCTGGTTGCCAAGTGGTTAGAGCATTGGGCATGGAGAATGGTAAAGGGGGGGAGGGGGAGTGTTCTTGGATTCAATTCCCTGCTCAAAGGCAAATTATCTGGGTTGCAGGTTTGATCCCCAGTGCCCAAGGTGTCTCTCTCACATTAATGTTTCTCTCCAGCTCTCCCTCTTCCTTCCACTCTCTAAAAATCAATGGAAAAAATCCTCAGGTGAGGATTAACAGAGAAAAAAAAAACAAACTGTAAGACTCACCCTTACTATAAATCTATAAGTCCTTTATCTTGCATTTGATCCAAGGAGTTAAAATAGCTAGCCTCTGCCACCACATAATGTCAAGGGCCAAAACAGAATCACATTTCCACATTATCAAACCAAAGAAATTCTTTAACCTCGTAAAGCTGAAATCAACTTGAATTGTCCCCAATTCAAATGTCACTACCTCCACCCAAGCAGTCCTTAATAATAGTAAAGAGAATTACTGAGTGGCTATTACACACCATGCACTCTGCTAGGACTTACAAAATGCAGGGTGTTGTTTCTGAATAAAAATAATCGGAGACATCAAAGGTATAGAGTGAGGCTCTCTAAATTGCTGGTGTTGACAAAGATTTGCTTCTCTTGCATTTTTACCCTTGATGGAAAATAACTGCCTTTTATAGGACTACACCCAGTTGGCTCACAGAATTTGAAGAAATTATAGCCTAGGTGACTAGCTGCACATAGTAATCTCAGCAGACTGTAGAAGTTTGCCATGGTTGGCAAAGTTTTATTTTTTAATGTCTTGATTGATTTCAGGGAGAGGGAGAGAGAAAAATAGTCATAGTCTGCCTCCAGCACGCCTCCTGGTGCATAGGATGAAGATCAACCCAACTGAGCGGCACTGGCCAAGTGGCAAAGTGCTTTTTGATATAAGATCAGATGCAAAACTTAGAATCCACTCACATCCTTCTCCTGGATGGTGCACTCCTTACAATAATAGGCATCTGAGACTCCCGGGCCTCCACAGATCACACAGCGCCCCTGATAGGAGCCGTAGTTACACTCATCACATATGCGCACTAGGGTGCAGGGACGCACATAGGAGTCACAGATCACACACTTGCCGTCACCTGTGAGAAAAAGAGAACGGAGTTATGTCCACTTGCAATTCCTCGCCCTCCTCCTGTTATGGGGAAACACACCAGTCTCCTTGGACAGTGACTTTAGGGCCTTCTACTTTGGCATTACAAAACCTGACTTAGTGTTCATCTCAATCCCCACAACATATAGGAAAAAGTTAATACCGGTAAGTAACAACTAAAGAGCTGAGAAGAGCAGCTGGTAGGTGGGAAGTCCATATAAATTATTGGCAAAAACTGTGTGTTGGAGATGGGGGTCAAGCCACTTCCTATCCAAAGCTACAGATTTTCTCAAAGCCTAAACACGGCGTCCAAAATGTGGAAGTGGAGTAGGGAGGTGGAGGCGGCCTTGGTTGCAGTGTTCACCTAAAGCCCTCTTGCTGGCGCCACAGAAACTGAGTGCGAGGGGCGGGGCGTTTGGGAGGGCGTCTTCCACTTACATTTTTCACAGAGTCTTCCGATGGCTGCAAGATCAAAGATGGTAAAGAGTACAATTAGAATCAAGATTCTGACGAAGAGTAGAAAAACATCCTCGAGTTTGGGGTGGGAACAGAAGCAGGGACTGCAAAGAGCGATTTCCTCCACCTTAGCCTCACATTTCCCAAAGCCACACCTTCCTGAAGCCCCTCCCGGGCCCTGGACCAGGAGTTTCTCCGGACCCCACCCGGGCCACCCGCCCCCGGCGCCCCTCTGCGCTCCCCCGCCTTCTTCTCATTGGAGGCCAAAAACCTGCGCGCTCCTACGCTACACGCCGAAGGCGGGAAACGTGGCGCCTCCGAGCACGACCTTGGGGAGAGATGGAACCCTGACTCCCCAACACCTAATACTGCCCCCACCCAGGGAGCCGCGGCCATGGAAGCTGTCTCACCAACACCAGCCTGCTTGCGACAAAAAATCAAGTCCGGATGGTGTTTAGCCATCGTTCACGCTCTAGCCGGCCACCGGAAACTCCGGGAACTTCCGCCTGACCTTTGACCCCCATTGTTCCTGCCTCCTGGTCGCCGTGATTGGTCCTCCAGCCTTACGTCTGCGTTCGCAAATTTTGCACCAAGCCCCGCTCATTCTCGCGCGATCTAAGCCCTACGTTCCAAGCGCTGGTTTCCGTTATAGCGGGGGAGCCAAGTCCCGGCAGGCCTGGGAGTCCTTAACAAAATGTCTTTGCCCAATTTGGATGGGAGAGACAACCGGAAGTGCAAATAAGGAGTTTGCCCTTCGATAAGACGTCTTTGTCGGGTGTTTCCTTCTACAAAAGTAGTTACGCGGCTTTTTCCCCTTTTTCCGTTCGTTGCTCACACGGGGGCACCGCCCCCTGGGCTCGCGGGCTCCGGAGCCGCTGGAAGCCCCGCCTCCTCCGTGACGCCTCTTGCCTCAGGCCACGCCCCCCGCCCGGAGCCTATAAATTGGCCGTGTGGCACGTCACTTTCACGCGACCTCATCTTTGTCAGTGCACAAAATGGCGCCTTACAGCCTCCTGGTGACCCGGCTTCAGGTGAGCGAGCTCGGGGCCCCCTGGGTTCACGGGGGCGGAGTGCCTAACAGCCTGCCTGCGGCTGTGGGCGAGGCGGTACCAGCAGGCCCGGCTGGCGCTGACGTTTGTTTACCTGTCACGGCCGTGGGCCCGGCCGCGGCCCGGCGCTCCCGTGCCCGAGGTCAGGGCGTCCCCGCTCCGTCAGCGCTCCGGCCCTGCCCCCGCCCCGCGGCCAGTGTGGGTGGAAGTCGTGGCGGCCGGGTAAAGGATAAAGACACTTCTTTCTGAGGACGGCACTCTCTTTCCCCGTAGGGTTTCCTCTGTCCCTCAAGGTGAGGACAAGGTGACGGGGGGGTACGGGCGTCGTTGAGCCCGCTAGGCCCAGAGCTTGAAGGTCTCACTTCTCATCTCTCCGCAGCAGAGACTCGCTAGCTAGGTGCCTTCAGAGTTGCCAGGTCTGGAGTCTGGAGAAGAAACTACTGTCCTGTTCCATCTTCTGAGGATTCTGTGGGATACATGACCAAGAATGAAAGAGTGTGTGTGTGTGTGTGTGTGTGTGTGTGTGTGTGTGTGTGTGTGGAGGTGTCTTCAGTCCCCAGACGTAGTAAATAGTAATAACCATAATCTCTTACGTTTGCACAACATTGCTAGATTGTTTTAATTGCTGATCATATTTTAAGTCATAAAGTTATCTGGTGAAATGATTACTCTCATTCGATAAGGAAGGAAATTACTAGAAAGTAGGTGAAAGTTACTGCTGTCACCGAAGTGGCCTGAGCCCTTGCCTTGTAGCCCCTCTGGCCTCTAGCCCCTCTGGCCTCCTTGTTCATGTCAGCGTGTCCTCACAGAACTTCCCGAGCCACAGAGCGACCTTTGAGCTAACATTTATATTTTTTGAAAGTACCAGAATGGAGTATTTTGAGGTCTCAATTAGTTGCTTTTCAGCTACTAGATGAAAGGGTAAGGAGACTCAACAGTTTGACCTTGACTCGCCTGTTAAGAACCATCTAGAAAACCTACTGTAACTGCCAGAAGGGCTTTTCTCTTCTAACATGACAGCCCTAGGAAGGCATTTTGTTAATAAAAATAAAGCAGTTATTTGTAAGCATTCTCAGAAAATCTTTTAACTCTGTGAATCTACTTTCAATCAAGTAACACAACGCAGATTAAAAAAAAAAATTGTTACATGCTGTTTTCAGCAAGCATTATGTTAGTAGGAGTTTTTTTTTTTCTTTCTTTCATTTTGCTTAAATTTAAACCATATATTTAAGTCATCCATCTTAAAAATACTTCTGACCTCTCAATTCTGGGCAAAGACAAGGGATTTTCCCTAGTTACCACGTCAGATCTTTTGATTCTCCAGGCTAACACTGTGGAAATGCTGTAGTTCCTTCCTGATCCTGCTGTCCCATGATGTAGTGAAGTCTGGAAAGATAATTTAAGAAGAATGATTACAGACTTATGGAGCTTGGAAGAAAAGGACTAATGTCACAGTGTTTTGTAACTAAAAAGGGATTTGGAAAGCATGAGTGTTAGATCAATGTAGAAAGAGATCTGGGCTATAGTTTATAGTCTACCCTGACCCCGTGACCTTGAACAAGTTACTTCTGTATCCTGGTTTCTTCATCTGTCATTTGGCTCCCATTCAGATTATGATGATTGTTATAAAGTCATGAGACAGTTTATGATCATCATGCAGTCTAACTTCCTCTTCTACAGATAGACAAAATCCAAGCCCTTGAGAGCCTGAGTGACTTCCAGGGACAGAGTCAGGATTAAAATTCAGGTCTGTTCATTAGGATGAACAACATTGTGCCACATTACTTACTAATAGCCAAATGGCCAGCTAACACTGTCCTCGGAGACCTTGTAAATTTACCTCTGTTGTGTTTAGCTCCATTGGAGATGTGATGGAACTACCTTGGTTGTCATGTCTGCAGAACTTGATCTATACATTAAATATTGTCCTACCTCATTCACCACATATGCATTATATGAGCATCCACGGCTTGCTTCAGATACAATGATAAGCAAAGCAGTCAATTCCTGTCCTCATGGAGTTTCCACGATATTATAATGTATTCTACTTCAGAGAACCTTGGAGGTCTTTCTCAGCCACAATATTTTTCTTCTGCCCTTGATTGGACCAAAGGTGAAGGTAGATAATAGAATGACTGCAATTATAGTAAAACTTCGTAGCTAACATTTACCTTACTGTGTATCAGTTATCTCACATGACCCAGTGAGATAAGGCAAACCTATTCGCCCTGTCTTATTGATGAAGAAACAGGATTAGAGCAGAAGCATAATGTAAAGGCTAAGAGCATGGATTCTTGCGTCACACTACCTTATTTGAATGCTGGCTCTACTACTCTGGGCACATTACTGCACCTTTCTATGCCTGTTTCTTCACCTGTAAGATACAGATAACAATAGTACTTCAGACTACTGTAGTAGTCATACTATAGTTGCACAGTATTTAGGACCCTGCCTGCATGTAGTAAGTGTTATTAAGTAAAATAAAATAAACTTGTCTAGGGCCTTATCACTAGCAGATGTCATTTGAATTAGCACCTTTCTGTTCCAAAGCCTGAGGTCCCAGCCACTGCACTATTCTGCTTTCTATTGGCATCAAGATTCAGCCTGTTGGCAGTAAGATGGTGGCGGCGGCCTGTGCAGGCAATTGTGCACTTGTAAATTCTGCCAAACGGCAGGTTATATGATGTGATGAATCCATACACCATTAAGAAACAGCCTCTGCATCAGTTTGTATACTTGTCCCACTATCTGCAACCTTATGTAACACAGTGAGACACATGTTTATTCAAACACAAGATACCCCAAACCCCAACAGGTTAAAATTTATTCCAGGAAAGCCAGTTCTTGAGACAGGGACCAGGGTTTCCTCCATCAGCTACAGCGTTTCGCTCCCCTCTGGCTAGGCAATTATTTAGGACTGAAGGAGTAAAAAGTGTCTTCTTTGGACCAGATTTCATCACTGTCACAAAGGAAAGTGATGAGTTAGACTGGAATTTACTGAAACCAGATATGTATGCAACAGGCATGGATTTCTTTGCATCTGGCTTACCCTCAGTCACTGAGGAGACATCTTCGGGAGAAGCAGGATCTGAAGAAGATGATGAAGTTGTGGCAATGATTAAAGAACTGTTAGATACAAGAATATGGCCAGCTGTGCAGGAAGCTGGAGATGTAATATAGAAGCTCCAAGGTTCCTGTACCAGCTGCGCTAGTTCAATCATTACTCTGGAAAGTGGAATTCAGAACATGCTGCAGTTTTATATTCCAGAAGTAGAAGGCGTAGAACAAGTTATGGAAGAGGAATCAAATGAAAAAGAAACAAATTCACCTTAAAATATTTTGAGTTTTCTTTGGGCCCAGCAATTTTATAGATACTATATCCCTTGCTTTTATTATTAACTGCTAAGGAACTGCAGATTAATAAAATATGCTCTTTCTTCAGAGAATGATAAAAAAATAAAGAAAGGTTCAGCCTGTTGCCCAGGGTACCATTAATGCTTCAGAAGCTGAGAACAGTGCTCTATCATCTGACCGTACCTGCTACCAGGTAGTAAAATTAGAAGTAAAGAAAATGGAGGTGAAATTCTTGAAAATCCACATTTACTTTGTCTTTTAAAATTTACTTTTCTGTAAAGGGCTGTGGGTGGTAAATAAAAGGAGTTGGGAATTTGCAAATACATTTCTGAGGTCTTTGGTTTTGCCTTGAGGTTTGGGAGTACTGAGTTCTCATGCGGTTTTGGGATGCCGTGTCACCTCTGCCTGTAAATCTGAGATGGCGGTTAGCTGCAGAGACCTGCCGTTTGGCAGAATTTACAAGTGCCTCTGTAAAGCACCATGTATAATAGGTTTCATGTTCACTGTAGTGTCTTCTCAGATGTCCTGTAGTCAGCTGTCAATTTGAATTGAGTGAATGAATGACTGGCTGGATGAATAAACAAATTCCCAATGTCAAATTTGGGAAAGAGAGGAAAATCCCTGTCTTGATGACCAGGGAAGCATACCTTTGCCTTTAGGACCACCTGTTCCCAAAACATTTATTGAAAGTTTGCTGTGTGCTTAGTGCTGTTCTAAACATTGGGAGTGCAGTAGTGAACAGCATAGTGGAACTTGTACTGTAGTTCTGGAGAGACAGAAGAGGAACAGCTAGACAAATACAATTTGTCTACTAAGTGCTAAAAGGAAGATAGAATAGAATAGTAGAGGTAGGAGTGGGGATGTGGCATTGCTTTCACCGGAGTAGCTGGGGAAGACCTCTCAAAAGAGGTGCCATTTGAGCTGATACTTCAATGAAAAGAAGTCAGCATTTTGGGAGCGGAGACTTCAAGTAGAAGGTGCAGTGTACAAAGCACCTGAGGTAGGTATGAGCTTAATATGTTGAGGATAAAAAATAAGGCCAGTGGTTGCTATGCTGAAAGGAAGGTCCAGACAAGAGGTAGCAGCCAGAGTAAGCTCTCCTAAGGATTTTGAGTTTTACTCTTAAGTGTAATGAAGCTTTTCAGCTGTGGAGCAACAGGATGTGATTTATGGCTGAGAAAAATCCTTATGCTGCTGCTTGGGTGATGGACCACAGGGAGACAAAAGAGGAGGGAGGAGACTAGTGTGGCTGATGGAATGAACCAGGGAGTGTAAGGTGTCGGGGACTCTGGTTCTGGTAGTGGATGTATTTTGGAGGCACGTGGGTTGAATGCAGAGTGTGAGGTATAGGGATAATTGAGGAGGACTCCTAGGTTTGGGGCTTGAGCAGTTGAGGGATGGATGAATTTGAATTCAGTAGTCATGTGTTTGCACAGCACTTGTAAAACTTAGGTGTGGGCTGAAGCTCATTTATAAATTCTTGATTTTTTTTATCAGCTCTCAGCAAGTTACTTGTATTTTACAGGTTAGGACACTGGACAGGCCCAAGGGTCTTGCCCTAGGGTCCCTCACTTGAGTACGAGCATCATGGATGGGGTGAGCCTTGTTCTGTCTCGGACCTTATTCTG